TACATTTGAAATGCTGAACAACCCCTCAAATTAATACATCGGTCACTATCTTGGTATTGGTACTATAACAAAGACCTTGATATTGAGATGTACTTGCTTTTGTGACGTCCTGTGATGTCATCGGGTGTCAAATTACAAGCAATTAAATTTTGATAGTATTAATTTTCAAAAATCCATATAAAGTCAATTGTGAGGTACCTCAGTTGCTTTTTAAGGCAAGTTATTGAATAGTGTTTTATGTTTTTTAAAGCCAATTTTTTTAAACCAATAACACCGAAATCAACCTCATCTCCGTACAGATGCTGGAGTTAATTCTTGAAAAATAAAATCAGAAAGAAAGTATACGTTATTACTATGAGTGTCTAAAACGAATTTGGGACCCATTTACGCACTAAACTATAATTTAGGGATCTCAATCCATGCTCAGCTCAGGCCGATTGCCATGAATTAACGGTATGTAATCTGCCTTCTGTCCCTTCATTGTTTTGTTTGGGAAGCAAACATCCAAACAAATGTTGTGTAACAACTTGCCTCAAAAACAAATCACAAAACTTTACAAAATAACCCAACTGTGTCAGCAGGGCTAAAGAAAACGAAACCCGACATCATACACGTAGCTAAAACAGCGGCAAGGATTGAGAATTAAGGTTACAAATTTGTCAAGAATTGTGAAATGACCTCAGCCGACCTCATTGCCATAAAAAGGGCAAAATGTGAGAGATTTTTCTTAGTATTTTGAGGGACGTAGTTTTGCAATTAACCAGCGAAATCACCGGAATTATTTTGCTGTCAATAAAGTGACCTGCTATGGCTTTACAGTTATTGAATTTTCAACTCAGGGACGTTTCTGTGTGTATGACGTACCAGCTCCAAAGTAATCGATAAATGTATTTCCAAATGACGCCATCTCTCTCTCTCTCTAAAAAAAGGGGAGTACTGACAGGATCTTTTTCAAATGAAGTTACGCCTACAATAAAGGCTGCTTTATGTTCTTTCTATTCAACCAACGTTTAAAGACTTCTCATGGAGTCAGCGTTTTACAGAGAGTTTCTACTTATGTAGCTAATGCTTAATGGGTCTTGGTTGTTTAAGTATTATAAACGTTGAATTCACCGCGTTTAGGCCCTATTTTCCCTTGCGATTGATTGAACAAGCCTTAACTCCCCTGATGAAGGTGCCGAGCACCGAAAGCTTGGCATTACCATCTGGTGAGCAGTGTTCAGTTTTGTTTTGATGTATTTATATCATTCATTTTAGAGAGATCGAGGATCACATTAATTTCCAATGTTAATTATTCTTAGCTTTTTACCCTGGCTAAATAAAGGTCTCGGCTAGTGCAATTACAAGGGTAAAAACTGGAAATTTAGAACCATCTTACAATCAACCAAAATTGCAGTGGGGCATCCGGGGTAAACTGTTACCATTTTGCAATCTCCAAAATGAAACGAAGAGAATTTCATCAGTTCTTGAAGGTTGATGTTGTCAGCTTATATAAAACTAGTTAAGTTTAGTTGAGTAATTTCAAGCGCGTTTCATTCAAATTCACGGATTTGTACTGCCAATTCGTCCACTGGAATATATAGATTAAGTTTGCTTCAAGCTTTTAATTTCGTCATTTGTCACACCATCGAATTTAACCATAAGTAGACATTTTCGTCGAGTATTCCATTTTGTCTCGTCTATACGCCCAAACGCGTTATTTTACCAAGCAGTTTAAAGACCAACTCCAACGATGTTGTTTTTTCTCATATTGAATCCTATTCAGAAGAACCAAGTCTAATTAAATTAGCACATATCAATATCTCCCTTGCAACACACGCTTTTGTGTTAATAAAACACAGTCTTTGTACCTATTTTTCCTGGGAGTCCAGTCTGCAGTTGTAAAAATGGACGTGTCGTCACGACTCATTAGCATAATGTATATTGATTTCTGTGATGTATTACCGTGGAGAGGAAATACCACAGTGCACGTGCTGTATGCATCCATAGCACGCATAGCTGCGGACGACAGCACGAACTTGAAGAATACTCTCATTCTTCGGAAACTCGAAGAATTTCAATCCCAGTTCTTTCGCAGAATTTCTAGTACGTCCATCAAGACGCACGATTTGGGCATTATTGTAAGTCATGAAGAAAGGAGCATCAACTCTCGACCGAAAAGAGATAATGCGGCACAGTAGAGCCTGCACACAGATCGATCCCCGACACGCGGTGCACGCACATGTAGCTCCATTTTCATGGACAGTATATGTACATTCGTAGCGCAACCAGTCGTGAAACGGATACCAGTTTCAATGTTTTCTCCGGTATTACATCATCCAGATTTCGTTTCTCAACAGCGCCACCAGCGGTCAGATTGTGGAAAATTTTCATAAATCTCAAAGACAACGTTCAAAAGTTTCGGCAAAATTACAAAAAATACAGACGCAATAGAGACATGATTTGGTAATGAATATATGATTTATTAAACACTAAAGGCAATAAGAGTTTATTTTCAAAACATTTAAAACAGTTGGAGTTGGTCTTTACTCTTTAATGATAAGTTTGTCCCATTTCGTAAAAAAAAATCACTGTGACGCCCTTGGTGAAAAGGAAAAAGGTCACTGACGAAAATGTTTTCCATTAATTTTCCTTTTCTTGTAACTTTTCTTAAAACGTAAGAATCCTTAAAATTATGTTAGACCCATTGCAAGCACGGACTTTACCAACAAAAAGTAAGGTTCATTATAATAATGTTACTTTTTTCACTGTTTTAAATTCCAAAGAGTTCATGTTTGGCTGTTTATCGTATCGCCCTCATACCCAATTTTCATTTATCTTAAAGTGCATTTCTTGCGTCAAAGCAAAAGACGTAAAGAATCTTTCTATCACTTGCTACTTAAAAGCCAAAGTAAGACAGAACTTGACAAGACTTTTGACTGATGGCGTCATATGTTATTTTCCCTTTCGCCACCCCAAAACAAAATGAAAAGTGTCTCTATCAAAGAGTTAATCTTAAGATCTCTCCGCGTCAAATGTAACCTTTAATTTTTCATCAAGAATTGAACTTTTCCAAACAAAAACCCAGATATAATGACTCTCCTTTGAGAATTTTTCACCACCTTTTCCAGGGAGACGGTTCCTCCGCGAAAAAAAGGTTCAGCGAAAAAGGATATTCAGTTGTACATCTCAAAAAGCAATAACCCAAGAACAACCTTCTGGTTTTAGAGGAACTTGAAATAAAAATGAAGATTTTTGGATTTGGGATGCAAATTAAGAAGGGATGTGACAAGCACGATTAATTAAATTGACGGCTTCTTAGCTGAGGCTTTATCCTAAGGTCAACCTTGGTGCCTTTTCCGGCCAGATGAGCGCTAGTGGTTTTCCGAAATAACTAGAAGTCAAACACGCTGAAACACCGATTACCTCTGGTAACAGTACATCAGCGGCCAGCTGAACCCGATGGATCTAGTAATTTTGGTCATATTTCTGCAATTGATACAGACCTGAGAAAAACTTTGGGAGTTGCTCAATTTAACAGTAAACAAGTGGAGTTAGTGTGTACTGAAAACAAAAACCGAAAACATTGACTTTTTTATAAGATGATCGGGATGTTGCAGGTAACCTAAAAGAACGTTTGTGTAAGTAACTAAAACAAATCCAGACCAAGCGACATTGCTTTGCAGATCACTAGCTTTTTATGTTTTTACATAATCCTCGTCGTAATGAAAAAAAACTGTTTTGCTTGCCCAAATGATTGCAAATTGCAGCAAGGAGCCCGATTTTGTTCCGATAGTGCAGGTTTTCCCGACCATTTGAACCGATTTAAACAGCATGTCATCCGATGTTGCGTGAAATTACGATACTCCAAATCGCCATTCAATATCGTTATACAAGCATGCGGTGTACTGTTGCATTGTAAGATTTAACAACATGAGCTATATGAACATTCTGCCCGAATAGGAGTCAAATTGAGTTGAATTGATCTGTAACTTTTCTTAGGTGCTGTGTTAATTTTGTTGGCTTTGTTGGTTATTGGCTTTTTTCTTTAAGTTTGGGTTGGTCTTGTTTTAGATTAGTTAAGCCTTACCTTGATTCTGTGGCGGGTTTACTTTGGTCTAGGATTGGTCTAATTTCTAATTTCTAAAAAATTAATTTTGGTCTTTTGGTCTACATTTTAGGTTTGGTTTCTGCAATTCTCTTGGCTAGATTTTCAAGTCTTTAGGCGAATATTTTTAAATCTGATTTTTGACCCAGTCCTGTTTTTTAGTTCTCCCGTTACTTTCCTTTTTTTTTGGGGGGGGGTATTTTTAGAAGAAATAAAAGATTTTGTTGTTGGAATCAAGTTTCAGCTTCCGTATCCCTATTCTTTTAGACTTCTTGCGACTCCTCCCTTTTTGATCATTTTGAAAGTTTTTTTAGCGAGTTCCCCAAGAGTTCTATTTTCTTCAAGTCTCTTCTTTATTTTTATTCTTACTTGAAGTGTGCCATTTTTCCCCGTTACATTTTTTTCTTTTTATATAAAATATATATTGTCTTGCACGTAATTTGAACATGAATAGGTCCACAGCCATATCAACTGTTGCGACTTCTGGTAGGGAAGAAAAGTTGCGTAGCTTTTTAATTTTCATTTTGCGAAGTTAACTGCGTTTAACGAAAATGAAATTAACATTCCACTGAAAATCACCGGTCAAACTGACTCTGATAAATTGGATAATTGAACGCAGCGAAAAAAGATGTATGCTGGCCGTTGTTTTCCGAAAAGTAATCGACAAAACACATTTCGGCTCCTCAAACTGAAAACTGCAGGAAAACCACTTTGGGCCTAGATGCATAGACAATATACATCTGCCCCTCAGTAACCTATTGACCAACGCAACCTTGAAGGCATGCAGTTTTACCGTGTTAAAATAGGAATACAATAATAACACATTCATTAGATGATACCCTAAATGACCTGACATAAATTGTGTATATCTATTTTTAAAAATACACACAAACAAAATATTACAATTGCTTACCATCGACGTCTTTGCTCCAAAAAAGTAAAAACGACAGTAGAAAAACCAAAGCGACTGTTGGTCTTGTTCCCATCATTTCCGCCAACAAAAATCAAGCTTGTGATATCGTTCGTCAAAGTAATAACAGAAGACGTTGGTGAGTTCTTCGCTTCTCTATGAAGCTGATACTAGAAAAAAAACGCCAACCGGTATGCTGTGCGAATTGAAACAGGTGCAAGTGAGCGAGAGTGTGAACTCAGACTGGTTGGTCAGAAAGCTGCAAGCAGTTTAAATGAATACTGCTAATGAATATGATGATTGATCTATCATACTACCGACTTAAATGAGATGAGAATCGTTTCTCAACAAGGTTTTAAAAAGTCCAGTGGTCTACTCAGTGGTGCGAAGGAAGCTGAAATAGTTCTTAAAGAGCGTTGGATACACCCACTAGAACGTCGAAATCTCGTTATGGGGAAAACGTCGCAATTATTGTCTCCAGCAGTCTCAGGTTCAAGCTGGAGTCAACGCATGGGCGGCAGAGCGCAAACTGAGTAGTGGCGCAACTGCCGCCTTCGCACTACCTCTTATCGCATTAGACGGTAAATGCGTACACCCGTCACTTCCGGCACGCAACAAGTTCTCTACGACATTGAATGGGACATGTAGAGAAGCGCGTGACACGCTCTGCGTCTCACTCCAGTAGATGTCTTTGCATACTTTATCCGATTTTTCTTTGCCTATGCTTCATGATTAGACAACATCGATGCAGATCAGATATGTTTTTGAATTAGGCCAAGACGACTTTATCAGCCAGCCAGAAATGATTATTGTAGGCGGTAAGAGTCAACAGGTAACACGTGTGATATCGTGGACGGCACGTCTACGGCGTTCAGCTCTAATTTACAGCAGCTCATTTCAGAGATGGCAAGACGTGCCTTAAGCCCAAATGCACCGGTCTCGTTTGTGTCACACTTTGGGAGTAAAAGCTGCATCTTCAGTATCTGATGCGTGAAATCAACCTATACGAACAGGGCAAAAATCAGGATTGTATACCTCAAAATCCTGTTCACAAAGACCGTTGTGTGCCTCCACTCTACCACTCGGGTTTCGTCGGCGGTTCCATTTTGTCATTTTTCCCCTATGGTTATCCAAAGCTGAACGACAATGATTTTGCTGTGTGCATACGACTCCTTGTTAAGATGTTAATTTGAAAATGACTTACGACGTCCACATTTTATCTGTGCAGAAACGGCAATTTAAATCTTAGCAAACACCAACAATAAGATGCCTCTTGCATTAATTTACACAGCTTTTTTTAGGGGGGTGTTGGTACATGTATTGACGATAACTGGTTCTACAGTCAAGCGTAGCTCCACTGGTGATTGGTGAAGCTGAAAGAAAATCCCCAACCAAGGAACCCACCTAATTAAAGTTTTTAAAAAGTAAATCTTTATGCACCTTTTGAGTTCTGGCTCGTTCTCTTTGTTTGTACATTTACTTTCTTTTTTTGACTGCAGCCGTCTGACGAGTTCTATAATAATCACAATTCACCTTGTAAGTTATACTTTGAATACTGATCAGGTGTGGACCTACCGTGGTTCTCAGTGGCGAAAAAGTGAGCTTTATAACCCAAACCCCAAATCCGTTCCAACCCCTCAGCACACCCACTGATTCAGCTACGTTGCCTGCAATTATGTCGTAAGCAAGTTTGTGTAATCGTAATTTTGTGTTTTCTCGAAAATTCAACAAAATACCACCTATTTTTCTCAACAAACGCAACAGCTGCACTCATAATTAATTGAAAATATATATTTGAAATACATATATACATAACATACTGCCATAAACTCGAGCGTAATTTCCAGCCGTAGCCAAGTGATTTGGACACGGCCTATCGTAGTATGTGCTTGGCCGGTATTTCAGACAAGTTCAGGAGAATGGAAGCTGAAAGTGCCTGAGCCGAAAGTGAGGAACATTATCGGCGTCCATTCCCGAGCCGGTCTCAAACGACGTTACCCATTCATTATGTGCCATAAAGCGGCATACCAGTACCACAATAATTCGAACTCTATCAGAGTCGACTCTAATCTTCAAATGCAAACGTTTACATTATTGATGAAAGAAAAAACTTAAAATTCTTCGCTTTTCAATTTTTTTTCAACCATTTCAATGGTTACACTTGGCATCATTTAACAGGTTGGAATTTAGTCAATCAATTCCTGTATTTTCAGACATGCCTTTGGGCAACGGCTTTCGATACACACAAAAATAAAATTAAATGTGTGCCAATCTTGAATATGGATTTGATTACTTTGAGTTTCAGGCTCGTTTTAATTGCTTTTCTAGAGGCATATCTTCAGATTTATTCTCTCAACAGCTGTATATTGTTTAATCATGTAACGATGTCTAGCACAAAATGTAGTTTGCATTGGTACAGTACTTTTTGGCGAAAAGCGTAATTTCTGTGTTAGATTTGATACAGAAGCTGACTGGCCGATATTGTAACACTGATCTTTGAAAATGCTTTGACCTATACGGAAAGCTAGCCTGAAAATATGTGTCTTTTCATTATACGCGTGCTCTGTCAAGGGAAAATACTCTGCGAGTTCTCAAGTCCTGAGGGGCGAACGGGATGGATTAGTAATAGCTTTAATGGGCATGAAGAGCGTAAAAAAACGAGGTGGCCTGACAATATTCAAGCCTCAACGCGGGCATTAGGAAATTAAATCTCCATAGGAATGTCATCGATTTGCAATGTAATTAGCTAAGAGCAACATCTGTGATAGATATGAAACCCGTAAGCAGCACTTAGCCGATCATTTCCTCCCTAACCTTGGTATCAAATGATGACGAGATGGCTACCTGTGCGTCTGCTATCCCCCACAAGTCGGGCCTCAAACAATATCGATTGAAAGTCCTTCCACAGGATATTTTAATGAAATTTCCAGGCCGTTGATGTGAAACAAATTCTCTCTCAGGGATTTAACGAAAGATTTCTACTAAAGGAGTTCCATCATTTACTATGACAGCTAATTTATGCCAAGCTTGATCATTTTAGACATTTACTACTTCACATTTCGTTTCAGGCGTGTTATCATACACAACCTCGCTGCATTCATTCGTGTTCAACCCGTGAGGGCGTAAATCCGGAGACAATTGCGAGCAAATTTCTGAATGATATAAAAGTCCATCTTTTTTCCTACAGCACATTTTCACGGATTCAGGGGAAAAATTAAAACCTGACATACTGCGAACAACGTCGTCAAATTTGAGCTGAGAAAATAAACAGGATTGGAAATGTTATGGGCGACTTTTAGTCGATTTCATTGCAATGGGATATGAACGGGTAGTCGGGTTGGCAAAGTTCTTTCCTCGCTCGATTCCCAGCTGGGTCCACACGTGGATTGGGTTTTCAATCCCCACCTGATTCCGTTTTACCCAGCAATTTCTTCTCGAGGGTTTTCCTCCCATATCTAGAACTATGACTGCTTCTCATTGTCTCCTGTGAAAGTGTGTCGTTTGGCGGCTGCTTGAGGCGCCCTTGCATTCCATTCGCTCGACCAAGTTTAATGTCTTCATTGTACAGCGCATTTGAACAGATTTGCATGAAATTCTGCGCTTTCTAAGTGAATAAATTATTTAAATTATTTAAGAAACTAGCTTCTCTGGCACAATTTAACCCTTGTAAAAAATAAAGACATAAAGTACCTATGCGACGTCGACATGGGAAACGCTTAATTTAATGACTTAAAGACTAAATTGTTTCATATCAGTCCCTACCTGATTCCGTGGGTTTTACCCAGAATATTCCTCTGGGGTTTTCCTCCCATCTCCAAACTGTAACTGCTTCTCATTGTCTCCCTCTACAGGTTTCTTCCGACTTGCGTGCTACAGTGCCTAGGGTGCTTTTGAGGAATATCCTTGGTGTCATTACCAGAAATATATAATAATATAAAAGTATTCTTTAAAGGTCATACACAAAACAAAAATTAGCCAATAAAACGGGAGACACTATAATCAACCAGGCCATTAAATAAGCAAAAACAAATTGTGCAATGTAACCAAACTTCTCAAATTATCTGATGGACATACATTAATGTCATGACCGGCCATCTATTAAGGAGGTCCACTTAAATTATTAGTGTAAGGATGCCAAGGCAAAGGAAGACGGGCAGATAGAGTTTTATTTACATGCCAACTTTTGAGGGTTCAAATATTTAGGTTTGATCACAGTTAATTACAATTTAAATCTTTTATTCTTTATTTACTTTACATGAAAATTCCATATTCCACGGATTCCTCGAATCAATTCCTCAGTTCTCAATTTCCCAAATTCTCAATTTCCCAATTCCTCAACTTCCCCGAATGCCAGGCCAGAGTGCGACCTTGGACTTGGCCTTCTACAGTTTTGAAGAGTGTGGAATAAAGATCGAAACCCAAGTGTAAATCATACGAGTCGCCACACAAACAAACAGCTGAAGAACAATAAAGAGTGAACATGACAATATCACATGTACGCTTCACGTGAAACTTTTACAATCAAGACTGTGAATTTTCACTCCAAAATCACTCATTCCGCGTTCTGCCATGACCCCAATAATCATCAAGTCGGGTCACACACTATGGAATCATAGATTGCGAAAGTGAAGAGACTACAAATCAGCTATTACAGTGCAAAAAGCTAGTTTTCATGGTAACGGGTTAACCCCTTGATAATCACTCTGTGATGCCCACGCTGGAAAGGAACATGTCTTTCGCGCACCCACCGCACTTTCTTCGCGGGCATTTGTTATACATTTCTAAGGGCTGGGCGGAGTGCCAAATAAACCACGGTGCCCCCTAAAACACGCTTCCCTACATTAAAAAACGTAATTAATCAATTGGTCAATAGCCAAATATACTGCCAAAAAACAGAGTGCATTAACATTGTTGGTACACTGTTTTTCTGAGTAAATGGGAGTTTAAGCAAATTAAGCATGATTGAGAGGAATGCAAACTACACATTCTGCTAAACGTTTCGACAAAATGTCCACTCCCACGGATCGAACATTTCTCTTGTACATTGTGCACTTCACTTTCCAGCCTTGTGTTAAAAATATCTGACATCCGCAAGACAGGGTAAAGGTACTTCATGTCTAGCGCCTTGACCATAAAGTTCATTTACCCCAAGCCACTTTTGAACAGAGCTTCCACGACGTATGTTTGCGGGGCACATGTGCAAGAAACACTCTAAGAACAATAGTAAAGTCTTACGACCCTCTGAAAAAAACAGGAAAACAAATTATCTTCACAAGACCATCATTACAATGGAATCAAAAACGGAATGAAAATTGAAGTATTGATTGCTGAATTACCCGTGTCAAGACGGGAAATTCAAGACTTGTTTCATGTGCTCTGCTCTTTCAGTAGTCGACCTTAATGCCATCCAGTCCTTTTTTCGTAGCTGGAACAGAAAGAAACGCAGTCAAATAGTGTTAAGAGGTGGCTTATGTGTTTATAGATGGATTTCACATTAGCGTCGTCTGCGCATATCCGCATCGAAACCGAGGCTCTCTGTGTTGAACTTCGTCGCGCGCGCCCGCGGGGTCGACACAGTACATGCAGTATCCGGTTCGTACATGTAAGTGTGATGCCACTTCAGTTTCAACCATGCCCACTTCACAAGATATATGACCATCGCAGGTATGTTAGTTCGCGGTAAATTGCCATTATTTTTTTTTTTTTGATTTCGAGTCATCCTTCCACAAAAATTTGCAGCCTGAAAAGTCTGAATTTAACATACCTTTATGTATTTTATGTCGACTCCTTAATTTCAATAGTCTGATCGTATTAAGAATTGAAGCTGACACCTACAGCCTCGTTTTCAAACGCGGAGGTGCGCAGAACGACGCTAAAAGCGTCATATTAGGTTCCCTCTATTGTGTGATGTAAAACACCCCGAACAAGTATAACCAAAGGAAACTATTTCTACCACTGCACTCATATTAGGCCCTATAGATTCATTATTTATAACACATCGCCCACAAATTCTGTAGCTTGACTGGCCAAGAGCCAGTCACATGGCATTCACTATTTTTGCTATCTTGTTTTCAGAGGTGAGATTGGAGGAAAGTGAAATATCCATGAAATAATAACCAGATGTTTTAAGGGTACCACAGCAGGGTAGGGTCGAAGGGCTTTGTGTTTGCCTACAGGCATCCCATATTAAGTACAATCTATCATTTGCAATTACCCAAGAAAGTAACTGACGACATTATTGTTGAAAAGCATACTTGATTAAAGACGGTTAGTGGACTTCACTCCCTGTGAGTTTATTTTTTTCTGGCAAACTGTCATTTTGAAGAAAAAAAAAATGAAACAAGGACTTAATTTCCAGTACAAGTCCTTTTTCTATGCATTTAGATGAAATTAATCAAAATGTTGGAGGTTGACTGCTTTATCTCGTGGACTGATAAAACTAACCTCTATCGGATGATCCATGGAGCATTCTAGGGTCCTTCGGCTTCCCTTTTGGAAAATGCAATGCTCCATGGATCACCTCAAGAGGCTAGTTTTACAACACCATGCACTGGAAGCAGTCAATATTTGTATAAGATGAACACCTTCAAGCCTCACTACCCGGCTGTCTGCATTTTCCCAGTTATCTCAGGGCAAGCATGTACACACATCCAATCCAGTCTTTAATGGCTGAGATCACAACACCGTAATGGTTGAACAGGAATGTAACGGGTGTTTACCATCAGAATGCAAGCGTGCTGCCAGCTTCGTCTTCTTTCACCCACACCATGAGGACAAATCTATCCTCTTTGCGAGTAACCAAAGGTGGCATGTTTTACATAGCGCCAATGGTCCTTTGGTGGCACAGTTTAGTTCCCTATGACCTGACGATTTATGACAACTCTTGATAAAATCATACGTGTAGGTCAGGTATCACCCATGATTAAATATAGTTTATGACCCAAGATGTCAGGGGCACCGGGGAAGCCCAATCTGCATTGGAAACTATTTCATGTCTTCCATTATTTCATTTTCAGCATCTACTTTAAATATTCCACAATGGCACAAAAAATAATGAGGACTACCCCCCCCAAACTTTAGAAGCATGCATGTCGGTTGTTTTACTTTAACAAAGTTGCAACTCCGGGTTAACTTTGAATTAAAAAATGAGCCAACGAGAGCTTAAAACTCGAGAATTCCAAGATCCATTGCTGTTCATACTTATATCATGACTAATCGTAATGGTTTTAAACGTGTCTTACTTATACACATCCACTGATTAGTATGCAAAAATAACTGTAAATGCTGGACCATCAACAAAACTATCCGAACACTGACAATAAGTTTCGATATTTTCAGAAACGGATGAATTCCTCGGTTTTTGTTATGTAACATTGGGTGATAACGGACCCTTGAACAGAGAGAAGGTAGTGAGAATCATTGGGTCTGGAAACCAGACATAGAATAATAACTTTGATTTGTTTTGAAGTCCTATCACTTTTATGCTTATGTTTTAACCTGTCTACATCTGGGACCATTGACTATTCATAGTTATTGTGTCATTATAACTGCGTCATGGCAGTGGCCATCTCGCTACTAGTTATGGTTGATTAGATTTTGCCATGTTGTGTAAACCGGATGATGACTTGAACAATTTCGAACATGACTGTTTCCAGAGAAACTTCTTCAGATCAATAGGAGATACTGACATATAAACAAACTCTGCTGAAAATAGCATTGACTGGTCAGCTGCATCATAAGACCGCAAAGATTCAAATCTTCACACATACCTGGCAATACAAGGTTTTAATTTCTGAAAGTTTTAAAGGTTAAAAATTTTAATACTGTAATATTATGCCTTGATTTTAGCCGATGTAAGTTACATCCACACTAGAAAACTGGATGTTACACCATGAGGATCATTGCAGGATGTCTACGCCCAACCCCTACAGATCTCCTGCCAGTGCTAGCAGGCATTGTTCCTGCCAAGCTCCAAAGATAAAATGTCAACCATACACTATTGTTCAACAGTTTAATGATAAGAATGACTATTTCTGCTCTATATACATGTAAATGACATTGCCGATGGGTCACAGTACGAGGAACGTCTCGTTGCAGACGACTGTATTTTTTATCTGCCTTGAGCAGGAGCACCCCCTCATCAGTTGAAAAGAGCCATGCCGGTGGGGAGTGTTCGTTTTGTTGATAGCAACCATAGTCGTTCATGAACCATGTGAAGTGCAGTTGCCGCCAAAGGAGCCACCGTTGCTAGGAAAATCATGTCCTCTCTTGGTCCCACTCAAGGACTATAGAGAAACACAAAGATTTACTGATCGGACCAAGCTGCAGGAAGACAAAGACAGCCTCCAGAGTTGGAGTGAGCAGTCCCATTCAGGTTTAAGTCTGGAGTCAGTCAAGCATTACCAGTGCTGAAGACTATACATATCTCATAAATTCATGTGGGATTATCGAAATGATCACATGGTTATGATAGTAAATCAGGTGCTGTGAATGTTGAGACGAGGCCTGCACAAATGCTGACATTCGACAAAAGCTACAGTATATTTTGTTTTCGTTCATCCTCATCTTGAGTACGCATCTGCTGTCTGGGATCCATGGGAAACAAAATATATCAACCAGCTTGATACACTTTGTCTATGATAATTACACCAGCCTATCCAGTGTGACTGATACGGTCACTAGCATGGAATGAAATACTCTACAACAGAGATGTCACATAGCACTCCTAACTTTGATCCACAATGGGTAGTCAGCTGTCCCAACATCCATCCTCCAGGCTGCACCAACAATGACATGTAGATCAATAATGGGCAATATGTACCACTGAAACCAACCTTTCGGGAGAACAGTATACAAAAATTCTTTTGTTTCCAGAACTTACAGAGTGGAATAAGTTACCAAATCATATATTTGACATAATAATATTATCACTGCATATATAAGCTGCACAATATCTCACAGTACCTGTAATTCAAAGGCAGATATGTTATCATTACCTCTACACATTAGGTTCACAACATCTGGAGATTCCTGAAACCATCTCAGCTCCCTGGGCAGTATACAAGTACTTGCCCTATGTGCTGCCATGTTAAGGCACAAATGGCTTAACATAACCATAATCTGCCTTAACAGGTCCCCATTTACTCCTGGGTGGAGAGAGGTACAAGTATAAAGAGATAAAAGGACTTGCCTAAAATCACAACATACTTCAACCAGCTGGAGTTGAACCCCCCCCGATCTAATGATTGGAAACTACAAACCCTTACCACCTGGCCCATCCCCCCCCCAAACACAACGGCTCTCAGAGACAAAGTTGAAAGCTACATCAGACTAAAGGATCATTATTCAACATAATGTATTACTAATTACTGCTCCTCCCTTCTCAGTAGACCTTTTCACTGATAAATTCATGCACGCATGCGCACAATTGGCCTGGCAGCAACAGCAACTGAAAATGTACTGGGGTGCGATTTTGATCACTTTCTCTATGATTTTTCTGGCTTGTTCATTTTTATTCTTCAGAAAATCCATTAGCATGTCCTAAAAGTATGTTGCAATCACCTAAACATGGAATTTGATGCAAAAGATTTTCAGACTTTGAGCTCAGGATGCTATTTTTGTCCAATTCCCCATCAAGTGACATCATGAACTGACAAGAATAACTAAATACACAGTTCAAACGCAGCTGTTAATTTGATCCCCAGGAAAGTTGGGGAAATAACCATGAGAAATACAAGCACTGTCGAACGAAGTGTCCAAGACCTTAACTCACAGGTACAAAAGGACCCAAATAAATGTAGCGCCCTCTGTAATTGGAATCGATCTATTTCAGCTAAAAGGAGGAATGCCAAAATCTTGGAACCAAGATCAAGCCCAGCCCTCCATTACAAGTCCCCTTTTCTTCACCCAGGATGTGAGGAACACCATCTTCCAACTGCAAGCTTCACCTCTGATAGGTTCTTGAAGTGCTCCACTTAAGCCAGATTGACATTTGCCCTATTATCTCAGAGGCTTGTGATAGAGCCCAGGATGCTGAAACAGCCCATGCAACAAGCAGCTTTGTGAAATATCACCAGTACCTCCAAGCTGACCCCGGCGGAGTTTTGGGGATTCCTCATGCCCCTGAATAGATTTAGTCCTGTAGCCATGACAATGGTTTACATGAATCGATGAAACATTTTCGAAACCTTCACACTATGAGATGCCTTAGCAACAATATCACTGTGCAGTATTTTAATACATCAATGTGTATAGCTACTATGCAACACACATTATTAATGATCAGAGTTTATGTGTTCATGACAAAAGTGATGTCATATTTTCATATTGGAATGGTTTAGGTACAAGTCCATCTGTTTTCATCAGTCATAAAGAGAGTTTCAAAATAATAATTTGGGTTGCTCCCCTTACTTCGCAACTTCGCAAAAAATCTTGATATTGCAACTAGTGCCTTGAAAAACAAAACAAAAATCTTCAGTCAATTGTTAACAAGATTAATGCACGAAGTGTTCTGTTAACGCGATGCAATTGACGGATTTCACAATAGTGCCGTCTGCACATATCCGCATCAAAACCGAGGCTCTCTGTGTTGAACTTAGTGGTGCGTGCCCACGGAGTCAACACAGTGCGTGCAGTATCCAGTTCGTAAGTGTGACGCCACTTCAGTTTAAAACACACCCATCACACATGCAGAAACAGGTACCTTAGTTCGCGGTAAATTGCAGTTATTTTTCTTTTGATTTTACGAGTCAAGTCATCCTGAAAGACTCTTCCGAAAAAATTTGCAGCCTGAAAAGTCTGAATCTAACATACCGGTACCCTTTATGTATTTTGTGTCTTGACACCTTTCTTTCAACCGTCTGATCATATTAAGATTTGAAGCTGACACATAAGGCCTCGTTTTCGAATGTGGAAGTGCGCAGATCGACGCCAAATGGACTACTAAGATAATATTAATGGCGTCCTCACAGGTCTCCAGTGGAAGAGAAGTTTAATTAAATGTGCATATGGAATATGACAATGTCCTCTAATATGGCGTCATGGACCAAATGGAGGACTTTGACAAATATGTGGCAGCAGATATACTGGTCCTTTTTCACGGTATTGCAGGTGCTCAGAACTACACAAACATGCTCAGAACAATGCGTGCATGCTCAGAACTGGTAAAAGGACTGGTATGTTTGCCACCACCAAGTGTCCCAAAGTCTTCCATTGAGATGCAAGGCGCCTCCAAAAATAGGACAAGGAACAGGCAGTACAGAAGCTTTGCAATTCCAACATCTCCTGGGTCAGTTTCTATAACATTCTGGTTTGTCACATTTTGATTTATGTACTTTTTTCACCTTTTTTGAGGTAGAACTCCTTTATATACCATTAATAGAAGTAAGTACTAAAGCAAAGAAAGAAGTTGCCCCTTGCTCCCACTGGATACACCACTAGGAATGGCCACTGCAACTGTCCAAGCATTCTCAGCCTGCATAATTCCCAGGTCTGAATACACACAATTTTGCACTGGGCACTTAGTACAGCATCCCTCTAGGTTCTCCCCTAGGGAGATGAACAGGGAGGTCAGTCACAACGGGTACATGTACAGTTGTACTCAAAATTATTCATACCCTTTGGAATATAACCTACTTTTCTAAATTCTTCATTTATAAAAGCTATTGCGTTGGTACGTCCACTATATTGTTTGTCTATTTGTTGTAATACACAAACCCACACGTGTATTGGCTAAACTCATTTGCATACTAATAGACACGGCCCGGGTTTCTTTTTGCTCCTGGTCAAAATTATTCTTACCCCAGGTTTACATAGTCAAAAGTCTTTTCTTAATAGTCAATAGCATGGTCTTTGTTCTTGATGACTGCCTCAAGAGAGTTCCTATAAATGTCCACAAGCTTTCTGCATGCCTCCTGTGGAATGTTGACCCACTCCTCCTTGGCAAAAGTCTCCAGCTGGGTAAGGTTGGTTGGCTCCTGGCCATCGCTCTGGTCTTCATCTCCCGTCACAGATTCTCTATTGGATTTAGCTCAGGACTTTGACTTAGCCATTTCGGTACATGGACACCATTGTCCTTGAACCACTGCTTTACTACCTTGGCGGTGTGCTTGGGGTCTAAGTCCTGCTGGTACCAGTGGGTCCAGTGACGTCCAAGCTGGAGTTTCTCAGCAGACACTTTCACACTGTTATCCACGATCTTTAAATAATCCTCCTTTTTCATGATCCCTATATCCTAATGAAGCTCCTGGTGCCACTAGCCGAGAAGCAACCCCATGGCATTATGTTGCCACCACCATGCTTGACAGTTGGGAATGTGTTCTTTGGCTTGTATGCCTCTCCTTGCTTTCTCCAAACAAAGGCTATATCCATATGGCCAAACATAGCCATCTTTTTCTCATCAGATCACGGGGCTGATGATCAAAAGGTAGAATCTTGGTTCAGATGAGCTCTAGCAAATGCCAGATGAGCCTTCTGATGTTTCTTCCTGTGTAGTGGTGTCTTCCTTGGCCTGCATCTGTGGAAACCTCCTTTGTGCAATACTTGCTGGACGGTTGCCCATGACACCTTCGTCCCTACCTTGTCAAGGGTATCAATTAAGGCCTTGGTTGTCATCCATGGGTTGTTGTTCGACTCCGGCAGATGTTTGTGGCGAGTCCAGGAGCATGATGGTGGCAACATAATGCTATGGCGTTGCTTCTCTGCTAGTGGCACCGGAAACCTCATTAAGATACAGGGCATCATGAAAAAGGAGGATTATTTAAAGATCCCGGATGACAATGTGAAAGTGTCTGCTGAGAAACTGTAGCTTGGACGTCACTGGATATACCAGCAGGACAATGACCCTAAGCACACCGCCAAGGTAGTAAAGCAGTGGTTCAAGGGCAATGATGTCCATGTACCGAAATGGCTAAGTCAAAGTCCTGAGCTAAATCCAATAGAGAATCTGTGATGGGAGAAGAAGACCAGAGTGATGGCCAGGAGCCAACCAACCTGACCCAGCTGAAGGCTTTTGCCAAGGAAGAGTGGGTCAACATTCCACAGGAGGCATGCAGAAAGCTTGTGGACACTTATAGGAACTCTCTTGAGGCAGTCATCAAGAATAGAGGCCATGCTATTGACTATTAAGAAAAGACTTCGGACAATGTAAACCTGGGGTATGAATAATTTTGACCAGGAGCAAAAAAGAAACGATTAATATGCAAATGAGTTTAGCCAACACACGTCAGTTTGTGTATTGCAACAAACAGCCAAAAGATATAGTGGAAGTACCAACATAATAGCTTTTACAAATGAAGAATTTAGAAAAGTAAGTTATTTTCCAAAGGGCATGAATATTTTTTAGCACAACTGTACGTACATGAAAAATCATAGCAGTCACCCCAGTGTCCCTACCATGAAAAAGCCAACTGCACCTCCCGACCTTCCTGAAGTTACAGGCTGTGCTAAGCGCTGCATGTTGTTGATTAAGTGTTGTACCAGTGCATGTGATATGTTATTAAAAGGTGATGTCCACATTTATCATTTTTTGACAAAATAGCCAGCTGACCGCGATATGATCAATGTATGGCCAAATTCCAATATTCGTCTGGTATTCCATTTTGACACATGAAGACCAGGCAGCACCAAAATGATTTACTTCCGAATGCTCCCAAGACAGAAGCTGTGGATAAACCCTGTGCATGCCAAATAATGTATGTAGCCATTGTTTGGTACGCATGAGGGTTTATCCACTACAAACACAGGGCGAGGGTTCCCCTTGTTTTTTTTTCTTTTCTCAGAATGACACAATCTACAATCAGAATTCGCATCTTTAGCTTGTTATAGTTGAGCTCTGAAGACAAATGATACTGCTTTCGATTTAGATGCTTCCATGTTTATTTGAACAGATAAAATCAGAGAAGACATGTTTTCCTTTGAGGTGCTCTTTAACCATTTTGACATGCTTCCATAAGCAAAGATCATTTCTACATTCTCTCTCCACATGTAATGGAGTGAAAAAGTCACCCTCCAAAAGAGTTAGTCCCTCATAAAAACTACTCCAATAAGAATGGAAACCACTCCAAAAGAATGAAAATCACTCCAAAATAGGAGACATATGAGGGATTTTGAGTTGTCACTTACAGTAGGTGGCTTCTTGAAAGAATGAACATTCGCCTAAGACGTAAGAATTAGACATGAACAAAGTGAAATGAAAACAAATAAACAATAAAGTTAAGAAACTTGGGGAATGAAGAGACGCCGAGGTGGTTGATCTGACAGAAAGGAGAACTCGGGATGATCAGCAACTCCAAAAAGTTGCCAGAAATCTAGTCACTGGTCGGAGACTGCATAATGCTGCGACATATGGGATGGAGATTCCGGGAAAATTGAGGTAGACAGCCAACCAAGGTTGATGAGCTCTCCCTTTCTGGGTTTGAGATAACAGTGGTCCTCCTAGGTGGACTGGAAGCTCTATCTCTTGAGTTCCACCTATCTGCAGAAACCTGGTTACACTACTAGGGATTCACTGGTGTCATTTTGTAACAAGCCAGATGGTACGACTTGATGAGAACAAACAACATACTCTGTAAATTTTAGCGAGCGGCGCTACTAATTTCAAATTAGAAAATTACAACTACAACCATAACCAACCAAACACTGATTTATATCTCTGGAATACATTCAGGTCTCTCACGTAAATGAAAGCCTGTCGTGTTGCAAGGTCATGGCTTTACTTGGCTCAGGCTGTTCTTCATTTTCCTGCTATTCTTGGATGTAGAATTCACGTATTGCTCTAACCTTGGGTACATGAGGGCAAGAGAAACACAGAGCAGCCAAAATGAAATCAGAAGATAATGGAAAGAGGAAGAAGCATGACCTGTGTTTTGCCAATGAGAGAGAGCTTTGTATCACAGAGAAAGAGAGAGTAATTTGAATGAGGCCACTCGAAGGCCCAATTCTCTCAGGGGGGGAATAGATACCTTGAATTTAGGCGTGATGACATTTTCTATTTTTGCCACTCAATCTAGTTGAATAAAAAATTGTCTCAGAGTCACGGTTGAGGTAATCAAGCGCAAATTCACAAACAAAAGCGTTACTTGTAATTACGACCTAATAATTGTCCGACGCAAGCTCTTCTCTGGTCACAAAAGTAATTATCAACCGTCTTGTGGAAAGCAAAAAAGACCACTAATACTGAATATCTGTAACTATGTACACTCACATAATCAAACGTAGGAAGCTAATTGTCCTATTCTAAAACAATAGCTTTGATGTGTTACTCTTCCAATGAGATTAGAGAAATTAGTTCATAGAATTTATTGTAAAGAGTGGCTAAGGTTGATCACAGCCAAGTTACCCATTATAATGACACACTCGTTGCAATGTGTGTTCAGATAGCTAGTGCTATTGGAAATGAGTTTTATTCTTACCATTCGAAAGCTGTATGCCATGGCTTCAACATACTGCCTCTTGATAACTCCTTCAGCGAGAGGCCTGTCTGGGTAGTTTGAGCAGAAGTGCACTGCACTAGTCAAGTCAATAGCTATCGGTCGCTGCTCCCGCATCTCCTCGGAAACTACAAAGTCTATAGATTTATGAGAAACAACTTGTACATTACCTGCAAAATCACGGCTAAATGAAAATGCTTTTAAAGATTCGGCCCAAAATGCACTTCTTGTTACCTGTTTGGGTACAGCAACGATTGAATTTGCCAAACTCGTTGAAAAACATGTCAATTCAGACAATCAGTGAGTGGGTGATCTGATCTTCCTATCCAACTGTGCGTCCATTTGTCACAAATAATTTGTGTTGCTGTTAAGTTTTCGGATCAGCGTACTACCATCTAAGCTCCATGATTATGATGAAGGTAAAAGAAACGTATGTATGAAATGTATAAAATTACGTACAAATCCTCGTGCGAATATTCAAATATTTTATCACATTCCTACACCCACAATTGAAAGTCCAATTACCCAGACCAAAGCGTCTAGTTTCTGGGGCTTAATTTGCACTTAAAGTCTGTACCTTTCTCTATACTTACTGATCTTGTTAAGTAATATGACAATAAAACCAGCTATTGGGATAAAAATTTATATTTTGAAAAACAAATGAAGTTTATTAGGGGAGGTTTCCATCTGACTAAATACCTGTTCAGTTTGTCCAGATATTAAACTGCATTGTCATAATGTAAAGCATTCTATTATGTTTACAAAATTAAGAGGAAGGTCCAATTCAGTGCAACTCCTCAGAGAATTTTTTCATGAAACTTGAAAAATACCGATCATTGTTGTCTTTTAAGAATTGCAAAAGCTAATTAAACCACGATGAAACCAGTGCCCTAAGTAACAAGCTTTTAGCGATCAATCTGGGAAAAAGTTAAAATATCCAGCTCCTACCGACAGTGTATCCGTTGCCAATAGCCACATCTGTCGCAATGGAAGTCCCTATTTCTTCATGCAATGTTTTGGCCACCGACGTCCTGAATTTACTCTCACGTTTTAACCCAGTGAGCCTTTCGTCTTGATCAAACCGACTGAGGATATTTGACAGCTCCTTAGAGTGTGCATCGCGGACTGACTGCTCATCACTGGAAAATTTAAGTAGCTTCATGCTGATTATGGTATGTAGACTCCGTAGGTTGAGTAGAGTTTTCCGGTCAACTGGAGTGGGAGAAACAAAATTGTGTCCCAGAAAGAGTCTGAGATTGGTGATTGGTGAGTACCTTAGGGTAAATTTTAAATGCTCTGAAGTTTTACAAAAAAACTAACATACTAAGATTTAGTATCTTCTAAAATAAATGTCAGAATTTTGAATCAAATTGAAGCTTACCGGGTAGGATTTTTTGTCAGAAGTAATGACTAAATTTGATCATACATTGTGGAGATGATCTCAATTATGTACAGAAGTATAAGGTTTTTGTTTTGTCCAATAAGATTTACCATACTGTTCAATGACACCTTTTAACACATGGGATCATTGGAAAGGCCTGCAAAAGAAGTACACTTAACAGGGTTCTTTTATGCTAAAAGCTCTTTCACTTTCCCACCAACAGGACCCTGAAATGGTTCAAGTGATTAATGTTAGATAAGTACATGTAAATAAGATCAGCATTGTAACAAATGAGACAAACTGCACAGGCTCAGCGGACTTGAACTGCAGAGACACCATGCACTTGCAAAATAAACTGTTTGAACTTTCATTGGAGAGGAAATACGAGTTACGTCACGTACATGTATATACATGTACATGTATGTCCATGTAACTGTGTGCAAAAATCTCCACAGGGCATCATCATATATAAACGAAGTCTTCAGTTTCAAAAAAAAAAAAGTCATCCTCAGCTTTGATTTGATGATTTTTGGAGGAGAAAATTTACTGTTGCTTGTTTGGGGGTCATCATCCTGTACGTTGGTACTTCAGTTCTTCAACTGAGAGATGCTTCTACAGCATTAAACATTTTGCCCAAATTCAGTCCACTACGTCTCTCTGTATTCCATTTCGTCAAGCAAAACAACAGTATATTTCACTGTTAGTACAGTAACACAATGAATTTAAGGCAAGAAAGAACATTAGGTATCTCAATTAAATATCTTAAATTGGTCTTTTTGTGCAAGTTGTTAAATGTCTGTCACAACCAAGACTGACGAAATTGGAGAGTTC